CTGGGGGGGGGGGGCATTTTTTTCCTGCTAGCCAGGGAGGAGGGGAGGGCCAGGCTGAACCGGAGTCTGATCTCCCCTGGGCGCCACCTTGGGAGTCTGTCCGAGTCTCTGCTCCCATGGGAGCGAGCAAGATGAGAATCCGGCCCTGCGAGGAGTGGGTGTGTTGAGTGTGCTAGCAGTAGCAGCGTGGTGGCGTCAGCCTGGGCTACACCTCCCCAGCACAGTCCTGCCTGGGAGCCTACGGGCGTAACCTGCTGCAGCTGCTCTGCTACTTCCAGCCAGCCAGCGCCCCCTGGCGGAGCTCGGGGCTGCCCCATTGCATGTGGGCCAGGCTGTGGGGTTTTGCTCTGCAGCCTAGAATCCGGCTGCCTGCTCTTTTCAGGGGTGTAAGGAGGCAGGTGGCAGGCGGCTCCTCCGGCCCCAGCAGCAGGGCTGGGTTAAGAAAAGGGCTTTTGGGGTTACTGTCCAGGGTCCCAGGCCAAAGGCTGGAAACTCAAGTGCAGCTCGTGAAGCCCCTGTGGGGGGTGGACTGCTTTGCGCATTGCCATTCCTCCCCCAGGCTGGAGCTGCATGGCCACAAGTGCCGGGAAACTGTCCCCCAGGCTGCCCTCACCTGACAGCTCCACCCCTGCAGCTCCCATTGACCAGGAATCATGGCCAATAGGAACTGCAGGTGGGGGGGCTCCCAATTGGGAGCTGCCCTAGATAAGTACCCCAGTTTCCTCCTTTACTCCTACACCCCAACCCTGAGACCCCTCATGCACTGTAACCCCTCCCCCTCACCACCTGAACCTGCATCCCCACTGCAACCTCCTGCCCTTAGCCCCTTGCACTCCACACCACACTTACATTTCTTACAGGTACTGTCGTACCGCAACTCCCCACCTTCTGCTCTGAGACACTCTCCCCAAGAGGGGACATGTTGTGTTGGGACATGACCTGTAAGAAGCTTAAGTTACTTTTGCCCCTGATTTAGACTGTTCAGCTTAGAAAAGAGGAGTCGAAGGGGGGGATATGATAGAGGTCTATAAAATGACTGGGGTGGAAAAAGTGAATAAGGAAAAGTTATTTACTTATTCCCACAGTAGAAGATCTAAGGGTCACCAAATGAAATTAATAGGCAGCAGGTTTAAAACAAACAAAAGGAAGTTTTTCTTCAGCACACAGTTAACCTGTGGAACTCCTTGCCAGAGGATGCTGTGAAGACCAGGACTTTAACTGGGTTCAAAAAAGAGCTAGATAGCCATTGATGGACCTAACCTCCATGAATCTATTAGCCAGGATGGGTAGGAATGGTGGTGACGGGAGGGATCACGTGAGGATTACCTGTTGTGTTCCCTCCCTCTGGGGCACCTGGCATTGGCCACTGTCGGCCGACAGGACACTGGTCTGGATGGGCCTTTGGTCTGACCTGGTGTGGCCGTTCTTATGGTATCTTGCTGGGCCTGGGGGTTGCTGTGCAGTGGGTGGGAGGGGGCTTGCTGTCCCCAGTGCCTTGAACAGCCCGGGGTGAAGGCAGCACCTTGGTGGCTGGGTGTCTGAGCCGGACTCTGCTTGGAAGGTGGAGAAAGCCGCGACTCCCGGTTTGAAGTCCAGCACGCCGACGTCCCAAGGAGAGGCTCCGGCGCCAGGCTCCAGCAGCAGCACCCAGCAGTTCCGCCCGGGCGCGGCGAAGCCCTCGGTGGATTCTTTAGGTAGCGGGAGG